AAGAAGGGGGCGAAGGAGGAGAGTGGCGAGGTACCTACCTGGCTATGGTGGACACCATCTTCATCACCTTGTTGGGCGCTGCATCTGGAAGGCCCCAGTTGGGGTAGTGCCGCACCAAGGAAGCTCGAGGCAGAGTCAGGCATGGCGGCTTAGTCAGCAGCGGCATAGCTGCTTTGGGTTGTCCTTTGGACAGCAGTGCAGCCACATAGCTGCTTTGCGTTGTCCTTTGCACATGAGGGCAGAGCCCTCAGTAGTCCGCCATAGCCTAAGCATGTGAGAGGTGGAAGAAGGGGGGAAGCCATAGCTATGGTGGACCTATGGTGATGTCAGCAGTAAGAGGGAACTTTGGACATTGATTCTGGTTCATCCACTCATTGTTATTATTATTATTGGAGGAAGAATAAGATTGGCGAAGTGAAGGACGAGAAGGAAGGTGGAGAGAAAAGGGGGATTTGTCATTGGTCTTGCTGGTGTACATCTTCTTCTGCTTCTTCATCTTCTTCTTCTTCTTCTTCTTCTTCGTCTTCTTCTTCTTCTTCTCTCTCTCTTCTTTGGTCTCTATCTCTTTGCAAGTGCTTTCATTTCTTTCGCAATTGGGTGGCATTGTCTTTCATTGTGAATTTGCACTTTGGGAATGACCGGGATCGTAACAATTGGTATCGGAGCGGACTTACTTGCTGGCGAGAGGTGTTAGTCACCCTAAACCTAATTCCGAGTTAGGTTAGGGCTAACCTAATCTCGGATTAGGGTTGGGAAGTTGGGGTTAAGAGGGGCACTGAGGTATGTGGATGCTGCCCCCACCTAGTTAGGTCATGTAGGGTCGACATCAGACCTGACCAGGTTGCTTGTGTGATTGAATGGGGTGGCGAGACACAAAGGAGGCTGATTGGAGTAAGCGAGAGGGTGTAGAGAGTGAGAGGTACTCGCACCTGGAATCTGCACTTCAAGAAGACATTGAGTGACTTTTGGGCTTCCCCTCAAGAGGGAGACTTGATCGGAGGCTGCCATATCTGCATCGAAGAGCTGCAAGTTGCTACTTTGGTCTTCAAACATCGACGGAGGATCCGACGTTGTAACAGGGGTGTAGGGAGGCCCTCTTAGTCATGCTAGCACACTTCGTGTAGTGGTAGCTAGGGGTCAGGAGGACCTATGAGAGAGGGGGGTGAGTCGTTATCCGTCTTTGGAGGCCGGGCCTCACAGGTAAGTGCCGTGTGACCTGGGCATGCCCGTGGGAGGTTGCTTGGTGCTTCATGGCCTGTTGGGGTGTGCTGGGCTCTCTTCCTCTTCTCTGCGGTCTTGGTTGTGTGTGTGAGCATGTGGATTGCTTTCTCACCTGATGGATGGATGGATGATGTAGCTTGTTCTCATTGACATATCTTTCGACGATGCATTGTATGTTCACTTTTGAACGGCTGTAGGGGTAGGTTCTTGCTGAAAGTTGTGTTTTCCTTTTCAGTACGGTAGAGGCAGTTTGGGACTGACTTGGTACACCTATCTCGTTGGTCCTGGTCCACGACCTACTTGGGACCCTTCGGGACTCAGTGGGACCAGGCCCAATGGGACAGGACCTTTAGGACCCAAATCTGTTGTCGTCAACGCATCTCTTTGCCGCGCTGAATCTGGAGGGATACACGGCTAGTAAGGACATTCCTTTCAAGGGGATATTGACTGGTCTTACTGCATGTTCTCACATACAGCCCCGCGTCTGGCTCGGCGACCGTCTGCACCCCTCGAAATCTCCATTGCTGCAGCTAGTTTTCTTCGGCTGAGTTATTGTGGTACATGTTCCTTGTCAGGTTAGACAAGAGGGGATCTCCAACTAATCTGATCGGGCCCGTTTGTTAAGTCAGTCCTCTCTTTTATTATTATTATTATTATTATTATTATTATTATTATTTTTTGCTGCGTGAATGCCATTCTCTAAGTTCAAATGAATTGCCGCTCCGGCTAGGAGTTCTACCTTCTGCTCTTTGTGATTTATCTGTTTTTCTTTTATCTGAACTACCTATGTCCAGCATTGAGACGCGTGCACAGAAAACGAAAAGAGAGAGAAGGGAGAGTGAAGGTATTCTTTTTGAGAGTGTGAGGAGTGTTCGTCCAAACGTGAGCAAAGTGCGGACCCCTCTTGAGAGATCTGCTGACACCCCATCCTCCAGCATGGCAGACATCTCATTTGCCCAATGGCAGGCCATGCTGGACGCAGCCAACGAGAGCGAGAAACCGTTTCCAAAAACTTTACGAGGACGCGATACACAGAGAGAGGGAGGCAGAGGCAACTGTGAAAGCCACAAGTATTGTTACACAAGTGGCCCTCCTCGAGGTTCTGGAATCTAGCGATGGCCGGTTCCAAGAGAAGCTAGCTGCTGCCGTAGCAGCCTTGGTTCGACTGCGGACCTTGGAAGATCTTGAGTCCCGTGTGACAGCTCTGAAGCAGCGGAACCAAGAGCTGCAGGCTGCGATAGTCAGCCTCAAACAGTCCCAGCTGGCTGCCCCCGTCCTCCTAATCCTCGACCTGCTGCAGTCCCAGTCCTTCACCCTAACACAGTCCTCATGCAGAGAGCAAGTGGAACTGTGACGAGCGCAGGAACCGGTGCCAGCTCCTCAAGCGGCAACGCCGACAATTCTGCACTGGTCCCAATTCCAAATGCAGGAACATCAGTCCAAAACGCCGCAATTCTTATTGGCGTACAATACAGCGGTCCCGTAGTGGACAAGAGGGCGGCCACACTACCGTCTAAGTACGGCGGGAAGGGGGACATCGCCTCTTGGATCAACTCCATGCGCTCATACTTCGAGGTACTGCGAACMCCGCAGGAAGACCGAAGCATGATCATGGGCACAAATATTGAGCCCGCCGTACGGAGTTTCATAGAACTCCAAGCTGTTACTGCAGGTTATGAGAGGATTGACCTGACTGAGTGGCTGAGAGTAACTCCCGTATGTACTCTTGAGGACCTCCTCATCGCGCAGTATCAAGATAAGCACGCTGCGCGCAAGGCAAGGCTAAAGCTTGAGGCCCTCAAAGGCCAAAAGTGGAGGACTTCCATGCAGGCTTTGGAGCAGCACTTGACCGGTTTGTTCACTACTCCAAACCTGGGATGGACTGACGTGTCTTGCATGGATGTACTAATGGGAGTGGCCCATGAAGACTATGTCTCCCGGCTAGGACTAAAGGACCATACGACCTGGCGTGAGCTACTGACGGATCTAGTCAACCCAGAAGCCAAGGACCTCGCCAGGCGTGCGAAGACACCCGCTGCAGGTAGAACCTCAGAACGCAAGTGGTACGGAAGCACCAACCAGCTTGCCCTGCATGAACATCGGGAGGCTGAGGATCAGTCCTATGCTAGATGGACTTTGACGTGGGCTGTTGTACATCAGCCCTTGAGTCTGACTTGAATACCGAAGAGAAATGCAATGCCTTTAAAAAGACTGCTTCAAGCAAGGGACCTAACCGTGGTTCGGGTAGGGGAACTATAACACACCTCCCCAACAATGCAAACATCCTTGAGAAGCTGGAGGATGCTTCCACTAAGCCTTGGGAAACCCTCGGCATTAGTCAAAAGGAATGGGAGAGAAGATCCAAACTGCGCATGTGCTTGCATTGTCAAAAGCTTGGGAACGCTGTGCAAAAATGTAATCGTCTGCAGGGAAATAGGCAGAGGGCGTAGAAGAGTCATCAACGCTCTCTACAACAAGGGAAGCTGAACAGTCAGTTGCAGGCCCCTCCAAGGAGCATGAATCTGATCAACAGCCTGCTCTTGAAGCCCGGACTGATGTTGAAACCAAGGCTGCTGCAGTCCAAGTACTTTACACTGAGCCTTGGGAGGAGACTAAGGAAATCAACT